TTGAGGGTTTAGGGTTTAGGGTTTAGGGTTTAGGGTTTAGGGCTTGGGGGATTTTGGGTGTAGGGTTTAGGGCTTGGGGGATTTTGGGTTTAGGGCTTAGGGCATATTGGATTGCAGGGTTTAGAGGCGGGGTGGGGAAGAGTTCGGGGGTCTAGAGCTGGGTAATGTCCCCAGACCGGAAAACCTAAAACCCCAAAGCCCTAACTACCCTAATACCCCAAACCCCAAGCCCTAAACCCTAAAGCCCCCGAACACCCTAACACCCTAACACCCTAGCACCCTAAACACCCTAACACCCTAACACCCTAACACCCTAGCACCCTAGCAAGTAACAATGCCCCTCCCCCTCCCACTTGGAGATCCGTGGATATATATATATATATATATGTATGTATGTATGTATGTATGTATGTATGTATGTATGTATGTATGTATGTATGTATGTATGTATGTATGTATGCATAATGTATGTATGCATATAATAATACATTACATTACATTACATTACATTACATTACATTACATTACATTACATTACATTACATTACATTACATTACATTACATTACATTACATTACATTACATTACATTACATTACATTATATTAAACTTTATTACATTCTCTTATCTTATCTTATGTTATATAATATTAAATTATATTATATTCTTTGTATGTATAGATGTTTGGGGGATTTGGGGTTTAGGGCTTAGGGCTGAGAGTTAGGGATTGCTGATCACCTTGCTTGACTTTCCAATGAACCCGACTTGCATCTGCCAGTGAACCTTGAAAGTAAAGCCCTGCTGGCAGCCTGCTGGAAGAGAGCCAGCGCTTGGCCAAAGTAGTACTGAGCCTGCACTTGGAGGGACTCAAGGGAAAGGGTTTTCGGTTTAGGGTTTAGGCCGTCTCGCTGTGAAACTTGGAGGTCATAATAGGGGCTAGTTGTTGGGGGGGGGGGGGGGGGCTTCTCTGTAAGTAAGCCCCGCAACCCTGACCCGAAGAAACCCTTAACTTTAAATGGGCGGGTCCCTTTTTGGGTACCTTAACTACAAGTAGCCGCCTTAGACTAAGGACCCCAAAAGGGGACTCTAACTTAGAGAAGTGACCATATAACCCCTAGACTGAACTAAACCCTAAACCCTAAACCCTAAAGCCTCAACCCTAAACCCGAAACCCATCCCTCGATCCGGCCTGAAAGCAATCAGATCGCCTGAGGCTGGCCTGGCCCAAGCGGAAGAAGCGCGAGACCTTGCGTCAGCGGCCGGGACCGAGTCTTGGAGGGTTTAGGGTTTAGGGTTTAGGGTTTAGGGTTTAGGGATTAGGGTTTAGGGTTTAGGGCTTAGGGCTTAGGGTTTAGGGCTTAGGGTTCTAAGCTTCTGATTCAGTGTTGAGGTTTAGGGCTTGGTGTCTACTAGGATCTGAAGAAAGGCACGCGTAGACCCGTTGGGTAATCGGCCTGTCCAGCCTCATCCCAGGCCTGAACCCTAAGACCCAAAACCTTCAACCTTGTAATGCATCCTACAAAAACCCTTAAACCCTAGGCCCCAAACAGTACTGTCCCAAACCCTAAACCCTACACCCCACAACTCTGGGACCCTAAACCGGAATCGCCAGGACCCTGACCCCGAAACCCTAGGACCCTAAACACGAAATGGGACCCCACACCCCACAACCCTAGGACCCTAAATTGAACCCTAAACCCCAAACCCTAAACCCTATTACACTTAACCCTTGAGCCCTAAACCCTAAACCCTAAACCCTGAACAACCACATTGCGACCCGGGTCACCCGGTCGGGGCTGCTCGCAGGGACCTCGGAGGTCGTCACGGTGCTGGAAGCTGGCGGACCTCCAAGGCTGTTTAGGGGGTTTAGGGTTTAGGGTTTAAGGTTTAGGGTTTAGGGTTTAGGGTTTAGGGCTTAGGGTTTAGGGTTTCGAGCTTAGGGTTTAGGATAGCCCCAAACCCTTCCCACATGCCCTTGCCCTGAAGGTTATTTGGGCGTAAACCCCCTACAATCCGACGCCCGACGTCCTAAAGCCGTCAACCGCAAAACCGCAAAACCCTAACCCTAAACCCTAAACTCTAAACCCTAACCCGAACAGCTGAAACCTGAACCTCAACGCCGAGAACCCCAAACCCCCAACAATCAACCCCTAGACCCGAAGAAACTGAATAGCCACGAAACCCTAAACCTTAAGCCCCTAAGGGCTCTCGCCCAAATCTCTCAGACCCAAACCCCCAAACCCTAAACCCAAAACCCTAAACCCCACACCCTAAACCCTAAACCCCAAACCCTAAACCCTAAACCCTAAACCCTAAACCCTAAACTGCCATGCCTTCAGCCACCGGGCTCGGCTGCAGCGTAGGTTCTGCAGCACCTGTGTTGTTGTGAGCTCAGAACTTCGGGATGGGTTTAGAGTTTAGGGTTTAGGGTTCAGGGTTCAGGGTTTTAGGGTTTAGGGTTCAGGGTTTAGGGTTTTAGGGTTTAGGGTTTAGGGTTCAGGGTTCAGGGTTCAGGGTTTTAGGGTTTAGGGTTTAGGGTTTAGGGTTCAGGGTTTAGGGTTTTAGGGTTTAGGGTTTAGGGTTCAGGGTTTAGGGTTTTAGGGTTTAGGGTTTAGGGTTTAGGGTATAGGGTTTAGGGTATAGGGTATAGGGTTTAGGGTTTAGGGTTTAGGATTTAGGGTTTAGGGTTTAGGGTTTAGGGTTTAGCGTGTAGGGTGTAGGGTTTAGGGTGTAGGGTGTAGGGTGTAGGGTTTAAGATTAGGGTTTAGGGCTGGCCCCTCTAAGGGAAACCCCCTGAAGTCCGGCGCGAAACAGACGCTCCGCATCGATTTCTCAGCGTCTCCGACAGGCACCAAGTATGGACGCGCCATGCCGATTTCTTCAGCGACATCGGCGCTGGAACTGTGAACCCTAATGGATCTAAGGGTAGTTACATGGGCCATTAATATGGTCCCTAACCTCCTCTAAAGGCTTCTGATGTATGGGCCCTTAATTTGTATAGGGTACATAAGGGGTATATGAGGGGTACCCTTTTAAGGGCCCATACTAAAGGACCATGTAACGGCCCTCAGAATCGAACCTGCGAAGTAGGACGTCAAGCCTCCCACTCGACGCCCGCGCGCGCTTTATGGAACATGTGGGAGGTCCTCCATTATGGTCCCTTCCGATTACAATGCTTGGCCTTATGTATAGAATATAAAGGGTATTCTATATATATGTGTATGAGACATATGTATATGTCTAGAGATAGAGAGAGTATAGAGGGTACACAAGCAGGGATACTGGAGAGAAGCCCCCCAAGTGCATCTTCAAGTGCCCCAAGGTTGCAGGAAACGTCTAACCGAACCGCGTCTGCAGTAATCTTGATCTTGACGGCAAGCCGCAATCATAACCCTACACCCTCTAGACCCCAAACATAAGCTCTAGCCCTAAACCCTAAACCCTAAACCTTAAACCCTAAACCCTAAACCTCAGCAACTCCGGCATGAGCGCCTGAAGACAAAACTTGTTGGAACACCGAAGCAGCGGGGAGCTCCGGGCAACGAGTCAAAAGGACATCAAGCTGACTGCTCGACGCAGATGTGCTTTGGGAACAAACCCGTCTTCTCTTGCGTGCGGGTTCTCTAAATGCCTTTCTGGATCCTTCTTCAAAAAAGGGGTGCCGCACTTTACATATATATATATATATGTAGGACCCAAAAAGGGGGCCTCCAACACTCTAACACTGTCAGTTGTTCCGAGGCATTACAGAACAACCCAGCGCGTGCATCGCCGTACTAGCTTAATCTTGACGGGAAGAAAACAAACTAAAGCAACAAAGAACTTGGTGGGGATGTGATTTCAAGAGAACTATGGCATTCGATTCTTGCCCACATCTTGCTTGCCTCAAAAAAGCTCGGATTAGGGCACCACAAATAGCAGGACGAAAGCAAAAATGGCGAGGAACACTAGAAACAGACGATCGCACCCACTCTTCCCATTTCTGATTGCGAATCTTAGCAAGCTTCTGCCTCACTGAGGCCTCGAGGTTACCTGGTACCTCGAGGAACCGGTTCCTTAGTTTCCCAACATGCTGGCTCGGAGGTTGGTGGCTTCGCAGCTTGCTTGTTCCTAAATGCGTTCATTCTCTCCGTACCATGGTGTCAAACCTAACATGGGCACTTAAAAGGTGACCCCGTATATACCCCTTCTATAGCCTGTAAACCAAGGGCCCATACTTTAGAACCCTTTAAAAGAACTATAAGGGAACCACATTAAGGGCCCCTAAACCCTAAACCATCAACCCTAAACCCTAAACCCTACAGGGACCATGTAACTACCCTTCGAGCATTCATGAACACGGGGCAAGGAGGCTCTCTCGGGCGCAGGCCAAGCTTTAGGGTTTAGGGTTGGGATGTTCCCCCCTATACTGTCCTTAAGAGGGGTTCTAAAGGGGTACTAGAATCCCTATTAAGCTGTTAGTCTAGGGGGAACATCCCAAGGCTAAACCCTAAACCCTCAGCCCTAAACCCTAAACCCTAAACTTTTTTTCCCTTACCTACTTGTTCGCTTCATGGTTCAGATTAACCCGCGAACCCCAAAACGGAGGCAACTTGTCCAAAACCCTCAACCCTAAACCCTAAACCCCGAACGCTAAACCCTCAATGCCCAAGAGAGCAACTCAACATCCTCAAGCCTTTCCTGCCTCTTCGCCGCACGATGCAGATACACCCCAAAATCCAAAACCCCACGAAGCCCCTAGACCCTAGACCCTAAACCCTAAACCCTAAACCCTAAACCCTAAATTTCTTCGCCTCCATGGCTCAGATTCTGAACGTGCTCCTCGTGCATCTCGCGGTCGGGTTGTCCGTCCCTCAGCGTTTCAGGGGCCCAAAGACAAAGAGGCACATACTTTCTTGGGGCTACTTACCTAATATCGGGAACTCAGAACCCTAAACCCTAAACCCCAAACCGTAAACCCTGTACAGCCTAGGAGCACATCCCTGCCCATGGTCCAAGAG